CTGGATGTCGCAGACGTTTTCGGGGTTCCGGCCAGTCCATGATCGCCTTGACCTTGGAGTCAGTCATGGTGAGGCCTTTGGAGGAGAGGATGTATCTGAGGTACTTGACAGAGTCCGTGTGGACTTCGCACTTGTCCGCGCAGGCGTAAAGCTGATGCTTCCGGAGACGTCAGAGCACTTCCCGGACATGTTTTCGGTGGTCTGCCGGATTGTCGGAGTAGATGAGGATGTCGTCGAGGTAGACCACTACGCAGACATCTAGCAAGTCTACGAAGACCTTGTTGACAAAGCGTTGAAACGCTGCAGGGGCGTTGGAAAGTCCGAAGGGCATTACGAGCCATTCAAAGGATCCGTAGCGGGTCCGGAAGGCGGTCTTCCACTCATCTCCGGATGCAATTTGGACCAGGTTGTTAGTGTGCCGGAGATCGATCTTCATATAGATCCGAGCCTTCCGGGGAGAGTCCAGGAGGTCGGAGATCAGCGGGAGCGGGTAACGGTCCTTCCGGGTCATCTTGTTGAGCCCACGGTAATCAACGCAGAGTCGCAGGGACCCGTCCTTCTTCTTGACGAAGAGGACCGGAGCTCCGCACAGAGAGTTGGTCGGGTGGATGAAGCTGGAGCGGAGGTTCTCGTCGATGTATTCTCGGAGGGTGTCCAGTTCCAGCTGCGAGAGGGAGTAGATGGGACCGAGTGGAGGTACCGCACCTTCCTCGAGGGTGATCTTGAGGTCGTAGGGGTGGTGCTCCAGAAGAGTGTCGGCCTTGGTCTTGCTGAAGACGTCCGCGAACTTATGGTACTCCTCCGGAACGTTGGAGAGGTCCGGAATGGAGTCGGAGGTGACGGAGTTCCTGGCGAAAACCTCGGTGGCCAAAGCGGAGGACAGATTGAGCGTGAAGCTCTCAGATCCTGGCAGCTTGCAGGCACGGGCAAATGCCACAGCATTCACAAGTGAGACCTGCAGAGCAGAGGACGAAGACGGAGGTTCCAGAGGTGCTGGAGGCGGAGACCGGAGTTCGGATTCATCGGATACAGAGACGGAAGGACGCACCATCGGCGCGGTCCGGAATCGGATGCTGTGCTTCTTCCAGTCAATCAACGGATTGTAGGCGGAGAGTTAGCTGTATCCCAGAACGGCGGAGACGGATTTGTCGAGCGGAGTGACGTAGAAGTCTACGGACATGATTTTCCCGGAGGGAAACTGCAGAGCGAGTGAAACTTTTGGGGTAATTACCTGGTTGGAAGTCTCGTCGAATAACCGGAGAGCGATCGGAGAAACGGAGCGGGACGGAAGTCCAATAGTATCAACAAATTCGGAGTCTAAGAAACAATGAGTGGAACCGCTATTGATCAGGGCCTTGAATGGCTTCGGAGAGGATTCAGAGTACAGATCGACAATAAGGGAAGAGGGGTCGGAAAGAGCGGATGCGTTAAGACGGACTTGGGTCTCCGTGCCGGCGCCGTCAACGCAGTTCCCACCAGGCACGGAGTTGGGGGAACTGCGGACTAGTTTTTTGTCCCTTCCGGAGCCGGGGTTTCAGCACTCGGAGTTGGCTTGGCTTGGGCTGCTCTGCCCTTCGTCGACGGAGTTGTCTTCCTGGGGCAAGCACTCGCAGAGTGTCCGGCTCCTCCGCAGAAGAGGCAGAGGTTTCCTGCCAGACGGCGTTGTCGTTCCTCCGGAGTGAGTTTCCTATCCTTACCGAGCTTGTCCGCGTATGGCTTCAGGGTGGACTTTTCCGCGGACTTCAGTTTCGAGTTGGACTTCGGGGTGGAGCCGGAGTTGCTGTACTTGCCGTTGGAGGACTTCTGGGGTGCGCGGGGAGTCGTCTGGGAGTTTGAGGATGAGCGGGGTTCAGAGTGATTAGACCCAGAGCCGGATTTGGAGCCAGATTTGGATGAACCGGGAGTTTCGCGGTTGCGCTCAGCTTTCCACTCCCAGTACCGGTGGTCCAGGCTCTGGGTGAGAATACGGAGGTCCGAGAGGTTGTCGGGTTTTCCTATCTCAGAGATGCGGTCCTTGAGCCGATCTGAAAGTCCGTGGTAGAACTGGTAATGGAGAGCGTCGTGGCCCCAGTGGACTTGCATAGCGAGGTGGCTGAACTGGGTGATGTACTTGGCAATCCGCTGGTTATCCGTCATACGGAGATTCTCTAGTTTGTGTTCCGTGGCACAGGTGGTGTCATAAGGTCCGAAGTTCGTCCGGAGTTCCTCTTGGAACACCTCATAGTCCGACATGAACACTGGAGGCATCCCGGAGGAGTTCTCTAGGAGGTAGGGTTCAAACCACTGGAGAGCGGTGCCCTTGAGGAAGGAGATCACGTAGGTGACCTTCTTCTCATCCGTGTTGAAAGTCTGAGGCCGGGCCTTGAAGACCAACTCCAGCTGGGTGAAGAACGACCGGAGCTTGGTGGGCTCCGACCCGTCGAATTGGTCCGGGTTGCGGACATTGTTCCATTCCGAGGACGTTGCTGTCTGATTGAAGTTAGCGGCGGCCGGAATCTGGAGCGTCCGGGCCAGGAGGCCTATGGCCTGCGCTAAGTCCGCGGTCGGAGTCGACACTGCTGGTGGGGTCATTGTCGGGTTCCCGGCCGGACTTCTCGGGGGATTGGCTGAGGGTGGCCTTGTGGGCGCGGGGACGACGAAAGGGTTGTTCGGGGAATGTCGGGGAAGAGGGACGGAGGACAGATTCGGAGTGGTTGGCAAGGGCTGGGCCGCGACGCAGGTTCGGGTCGGGGATTCCGGAGAGGAAGTCCAAGGCGGGTTGGGAACCGTGAAGCCTCTGAAGGTGTCATCGGAGTCGGACATTGGGATCTCAGGTTGAGTTCAGATATACTGTTAAGACTGTGCCGCCGGAGTTCCGGAGTTCAGGGTCAGAGCTGGGCAGACACGGGGAGAGGACTTCGGCCAAGCCATTGGCAACGCCCTGAGGGTCCCGACGGTGTCCTCGATTTTAAAGTCGGAGGTCGGGCGGAGATCGGACGGAGATCGGACGGAGATCGGACGGAGGTCGGCAGAGAATGGACGGAGACAGGGAGAGTAGATTAGAGTAAGATGACTGATAGAGTACAAACGGAGCGTAAGGTAACGAGATATCCGAACTGAGGAACACCGCACTAAGTCCGGGGGTTTATATACTAAGAAGCCGGTGTCCCCTAAGTCCGAATCAGAGGTGGAGGTCCGATTGGAGGTGGCGGAATACTGACGCTAAGTGGAGAAGTGATGTAAGTGGCGCCAGGCACTGATATGGGAAAACGGACATTCCAGTGGAGATAGGGTAGACGCTCAGAAAGCCATATGGGCCCCGGCAGGGAACAGAAAGGGAATCGGAACCAGTACGTAAGTGTCTATTCGTAAGCAAGTCCGGAGGTCCGGCGGAGTTAGCGTGGTGTCCGACGGAGTT